TGGAAGGGGAGGGGCGGGGGAGAGGGGGCGGTGAGTTTGTGTTCTGTGACCCCTGGCCTCCAGAGACCTTGCACTCTGGTAGCCAGACCAAGATGATGGGCTGTGAGGAGCCAGGGCTGGAATTGGTCGAAGGGGAGGAGGCCGTGGCGGCCCCAGGGCCACCCCCGGAACCGCGCGCCCCGGAGCCCAGAGCCCCAGTTCCCGAGCCTGGCCTGGACTTGAGCCTGAGCCTGAGCCCGCGGTCCGAGACCCCCGAACGGCCGACCTGCAGCCCTGGGCGGCGGAAGGGGCGGGCGGACCGGCGGGGCGGGGCCCGCAAGGGGCGGCAGGTGAGCTGGGGGAAGGCCTGCCCGCCAGCCCGCAGACGAGCCCGCGCCCACCTCTTCACCGCCCCACTCTCTGCTCCCAGGTACGCTTTCGCTTGGCACCGCTCTCCCCTGTGCGGTCCGAGCGGCTGCTGGCCGCCGCCGCACCCAGCGAGAAGCTCTCGGCGCCGCAGGACCTGGGGGCGCCCGCGCAGCAGAGCAGCCTGGCATTGAGTCTCGAGTTGCAGGCCGCGCGGGCTGCAGCCGAGGGCCAGTTCGATGCCGCGAAGGCCGTGGAGGAACAGCTGAGAAAGTCGTTCCAGACCCGCTGCGGCCTGGAGGAGAGCGTGGCCGAGGGTGAGAGAGAGACGGCCGGCGGGGCGCGGGAGTGGGGTTGAGAGGCGCCGCTCACCTCCGCTCCCCCTGCGGTCTCAGGGCTGAACGTGCCGCGCTCCAAACGGCTCTTCCGAGACCTGGTGAGCCTGCAGGTGCCAGAGGAACAGGTTCTGAACGCGGCGCTGAGGGAGAAACTGGCGCTCCTACCACCGCAGGCCCGAGCCCCGCCCCCAAAGGTGAGGGACCTGGGCTTGAGTTTCGGCCTTGTGCCCTCCTCCCCTTCCCGAGTGTAACCTCACTTTGGGCTCCCAATTCCCAACAGGAGCCACCTGGGCCAGGGCCAGACATGACCATCCTTTGTGACCCAGAAACATTATTTTATGAGTCTCCACACCTGACCGTGGACGGTCTGCCTCCTCTGCGTCTCCAACTCCGGCCCCGCCCTTCAGAAGATACCTTCCTCATGCACCGGACACTGAGGCGATGGGAAGCGTAGACGTGAAGGCTCCCGGGATTGCTAGTTCGTATATTTGTGTTAAAAACTTTTGGCGCCTGGGTGGCTCAATCGGTTAAGTGGCCGACTTCGGCTCAGGTCATGATCTCGCGGTCTGCGAGTTCAAG